TATTATTAATTTAATTATATATATATATATATATATATATATAGATATGGGGCGATATTTATACTATAACAAGTATGCTAATCATATTGATCGGAGTACCATCACTGCCATGGCACATTTTCTTTCATCTTTATTGCGATATGACCAAAAAAAAGGAGAAACTCCCGATACTACCAGGAGCTCAACGTTCGACTAGAATCTTCCTTGCAGATTCTGTAGAATTAGGAGCTTCTACTTTCTCTTGACAATTATTTGGCAGGCGCAACACCACTATGCCAGAAACAAAAGAAACCTTTATCAAAGGTAGCCCATGCAAGAGCTTGCTGTTCATGGTGATATTGCCTTTGCCTGGTAGCAACATCCACACACTCGCTGGTTGTATCTCTGCTCGAATACTTTGCTTAGAATCATCAGAGGTCCTTAGTTAGAGATTGCTTGCCGCTAGTGTTTCCCAAGAGTATCGTCTGCGTACGATTTCCTTGTCAGGACGTCGTACCAGGGCTGAGGGGCCGCCAGATACGATGAACTACACAACAGATACAATACTATACTACAAGCTCAGAACTCTCTGGAAGTTACACCCTTCCCGATCCTTGTCACTGCAATGGCGATCCCCAGGTTAAACCCCTGTATCCTTCAAGAAGAGTGCCTATATGCTGGTAAGTAGGCATGAATGACCCTTGTCCACCGACAGCACTCAACGCTCTCAATCCCAATCGATATCCATTCGGGTGACACAAGGCTTTTCGGTCAGAATATTCCGGAAGAGCTGCGTCGAGATAAGTCAGGGATAAATATATAGATATATATATATATATATAGATAAATATATATATATATATAGATATATATATATATATAGGCGTAACTAACACCAGTCGTTCAGATAGATGGGCGCCATGGTGAAAAGTGACTAGCCTTTCAGACCTGAGGCTGTTGACTATAGACAATCGCTATAGGAAATAGAACTTACAGGCCACTCTAGGGAGCATAGGTCATGAAATTAATATATTCGTATTTGTGTACTACTGAATCAAATCACATATAGAGTTGTACATATTCGGAGAATATGATAATCTGCCATGCAACGATACCAATATAAGTTTGTTCTTATACTATACTACAAATCATACATTGATTATATATATGTACATGTACGTCGTACATACACACAGACACAGACACACACGCACACATACAGATATATATATATACACAAACATATATACATACATATATACATATATACATACATACATACATACATACATATACATATACATACATACATACATACATACATATATATATATATAATATAAATATATATATATATACATACACACAGACACACACACACGCACATATATATATATATATATATATATATATATACATTTACATATATATATACATCACATATATATATATATATATAGAGTTTCCATATATACTTTATTTACAATATACATAGTTATATACGTTTAAATCGTAAATGTATTCATGCATACAGTTCGCGTACTTATTTACGCAAGTATATACATACTCAACAACCATAGCTACATACACAAGTTATTCGTATTTGAACTGACAAATGTGTATACATACATATGTGTACACAAATATGCAGCCTTGTACGTAACACCCTTATTCCTATGGCCTTGATTAACTTCAATTGTCTCGAAGTACCTTAGTGTAGTCTGGGATCTCCGGCGGATCATCTGACAACTCCGAGTCGTTGTAGTCGTTGTTCACGTAATATCCAACGTTCACAAACTCGTTCCCCTTATAGCTACACGTGAGAAGCACAACAGTAGCGCCCATGAGACTGTCTCGGGGTATCAACTCGGGCTTAGGAGGTGGAGCCTGAGGGTAGGTATGGACTAATATATGAGTAAGATTAATACAAGACATTCATACAGCGCATCGTAAAGCCCTCAAGGGATGGAGGTTGCCACACACACACACATTTACTCGTAACCGCAGCAGGTCTCCAAGATGAAACACCTCTAGTTAGGTGTTAGAATCATGGGAAAGGGAAGTAGACTCCACCCTCCAGCCGTTGTACACAGGCACAGACTGGTCGATTAGAAATGAGGGACTCTCCTCGGCTCATGTCTACACTTGCAGTGCACATTTCACATATACAAGACTCCTTCTGTAAGGACACAATTGTTGCTCACAAAATAACTCATTCTATTCCATGCACATATGTGTGGAAGTGATAGTTCCTTTTGTCTAGCTAAGCATACGGAGATGTCAATAGTTACCAAGGGTGTGCAGGGGTGATAAGTGGGTCTGCCATGCTATAATTATCAGCATGTCCTATTAAGCGTGAGGTGCAAAGAAAACAAATAAACCAAAAAAAAAGGGTGAAGAATAGAACCATTCCATTTGTTTTTGCGCGTGTGTGCTCGTTTTCCGCGGGTCACGTATGTGCATCGGGTTCAACAGAGTATCTATCTCACGCCAATCGACCTACATGCTACTGCCAATTCGACGCCTTTCATGACACCAACCCACGCGAAGTATCAAAGGCAGCACATAGCTCAGGAAGTAATACAGCCTCGTTGGGCCATTCAAGACCAATAGCTACATATAGGGGGTTCAATAATCGAGCCAAAGAAGATTGATATGTAAGAAAGGAAGCACGCACTCACCTCGAAGACAAACTGCGAAACACCGACAGGGATTGGCCCCACTGAGATCGAGTCCAGTTCCTGGTCATACTTGTTATCTTCGGAACTACCAACATATGTGAACTTGAAATCCAAATCTAGTTGAAGGAAGATAATTAGATATAGATGTTTATATAAGCATGGTCGGCAAGATAGGTTTGAGTGCTCAAATTCAATTCGTTACTGCATCTATCACATACACACGGATCATAATGTGACTAACATACATAGTTTCCACTTACATACACACCCAGGCACACACACACACACACGGATCATAATGTGACTAACATACATAGTTTCCACTTATATACACACCCAGGCACACACACACACACACGGATCATAGTGTGACTAACATACATAGTTTTCACTTACATACACACCCAGGCACACACACACACACCACGCACATACACACACACACATATATATATATATAAATAATGCATATATATATGCTTACATGCACTTCGGTATATA